ACCTAGTGTCCACCATCATTGCCCCAACTTCCGACTTTCTCCCAATTTTGCCCATTTCACACAAATCTCCCCCAGCTCCTGGGCCCTGATTAGAGGAGGCCTGAACTGGGGGCCAGGGGTGAAGGTTTGGAGCCAATGGTTGAGTTTTGGGGCAGGAGCAGTGGAGGGTTTGGGATCAGTGCTGAGCATTGGGGCAAATGGTGGAGATTTGGGACAAAGGGTCAAGGGCTGAGGTTTGTGGGGAGGATCTGGGATTGGGGACAGGGGGAGACACTGAGAGGGGGGTGGATCCACAACTGTCATCTTCACTATAAGAACCAGGACTACAACAACCAGTACCAGCATATTTGGCACAGAAATAGGATCCGGAATCCTCGTCCTTGAGGTTGTTCATGGTCAGCGTCATTGAGATCTTCCCGTTGTCCCTGGAGATCCTGAACCGGCCCATGACCGACGGCACGTACGTGGTGTAAGCACCATTGCTGGTGATCCCTGCGAGCCATTGCAGCCCCTGCCCGGGTCTCTGGCGCAGCCAGTGCATCCCAAAACCTCCAAAATCGAACCCGGCCCCTCGGCAGAGGAGGCACAGGGACCCCCCGGGGAGCTGGAGGTCCCCCCCGCACTCCAGCAGGTTCACGGCCGCCTGGAGCCCTGCGGGAAAAAGGGGAGATGGGGATGGGAAACCTGATTGGTGAAGAGTTCCCAAGTTGGCATTGCATGATTAAAAAAGGGGTGGGACCCCAGTAGGAGGAGGATGATGAACTCCAAGTGTTCTAATTTGTGGCCAAGGGTCAGGATTTGGGTCAAGGGTTGAGCTTTGGCCCCATCCCCATCTCCCCTTTGTCCCGCAGGGCTCCGGGCGGCCGTGACCCTACTGGAGTGTGGGGAGAACCTCCAGCCCCCCGGGGGGTCCCTGCGCCTCCTCTGCCGAGGGTTCGGGTTCGATTTCGGACAGTCTGGAATGATGTGGATCCACCAGAGACAGGGGCAGGCTCTGGAATGGGTCGCAGGGATCAGCAGTGGTTCCTACACCGCATACGCGCCATCTGTAAAGGGCCGGTTCACAATCTCCAGGGACAACGGGCAGAGGTCGGTGACGCTGACCATGAACAACCTCAAGGACGAGGATTCCGGATCCTATTTCTGTGCAAAATCTCCTTATGCTGGTTCTAATTACGAAGCTTATGGTATTTATGTTGGTTTCAGCCCTGCCTTTCTTGATGGGTTCCCAAATGCCCCGAGTCCTCAGACCCTCCCCCCAAACCTCAGCCCTTGGACCCTTGTCCCACATCTCCGCCATTTGCCCCAATGGTCAGCACTGACCCCAAACCCTCCCCTGCTCCTGCCCCAAAACTCAACCATTGGCCCCAAACCTTTACCCCTGGCCTCCAGTTCAGGCCTCCTCCAATCAGGGCCCGGGGAGTTGGGAGAGATTTGGGTGAAATGAGCAAAACTGGGGGAAAGCCGATAGTTGGGGCAGCAGGGGCGGAGTATGGAAGTAACTGGTGAAGCTTTGATGAACAGAGCTGGGAGTCGGGGAAAGATCTCTGGGGATTGTGGGCACTTGGGACTGCAAAGGGGCTGGGGCCACGGCAGGAATTGTCAATACGAGCGGGTCCAGCAGAACCATAACCATTACTGCTATGTTTGGCGCAGAAATAAACAGCGGAATTTTCGTCCTTGAGGTTCTTCATGGTCAGCGTCACCGAGCTCTGCCCGTTGTCCCTGGAGATCCTGAACCGGCCCTTGAACGATGGCGCGTAGTAGCTGTTGGCAGCATTGTAGTAGATGCTTGCGAAGTATTCCAAAGCCTGCCCGGGTCTCTGGCGAATCCAGAACATGGAGAAACTCCCGAAACTGAACCCAGACCCTCGGCAGAGGAGGCACAGGGACCCCCCGGGGGGCTGGAGATCCCCCCCGACTCCAGCAGGGTCACGGCCGCCTGGAGCCCTGCGGGACAAAGGGGAGATGGGGATGAGGCCAAAGCTCATCCCTTGACCCAAATCCTGACTCTTGTCCCCAATCTGGGACCCTTGGAGTTCATCATCCTCCTTCCTTTTGGGTGTCGATACTTTATCAAGCTTGACCCTCCCAGGTTGCGGCCCTTGACAAATCAGGTTTCTGATCCCCATCTCCCCTTTGTCCCGCAGGGCTCCGGGCAGCCGTGACCCCTCTGGAGTGCGGGGGGGAAGCTCCAGCCGCCCGGGGGTTCCCTGCGCCTCCTCTGCCGAGGGTCCGGGTGCGATTTTGGGAGCAATGGAATGTTCTGGATGCGCCAGAGACCCGGGCAGGGGCTGGAGTGTCTCACGGGGAACAGCAGGGACGGTTCCATCGCCCACTACGGGGCGTCATTCAAGGACCGCGTGAGGAACTCCAGGGACAAGTGGCAGATCTTGCTGACGCTGACCATGAACAACCTCAACGACGAGGATTCCGCCACCTATTTCTGCACCAAATCTGCTGATAATTATTCGGGGAATAATGCTTATAATGTTGACCCCATCCCCATGGCTGTGTCCCCCCCTGTCCCCGTTCCCCAGACCCTTCCCCCAGTCCCCAGCCCCTGACCCCATTCCTGTCCCTGTGTCCCAGCTCTGAACTGGCTCTGCCCCAATCTCAGCTCCTGGCCCCAAACCTCAGGTCTGGGCTCCACGTCCCAACCACATTCCCCAAAACGGACGGGGATATCCCAGATCCAGCCCCACTATGTCAATCTGCCTTTGCTTTGTGTAATTGACCACAAACCCCTCGCGGTAAGCGGCACCATTGAGTTCTGTGTATGCTGCCGGGGCCGTGAGCCACCGGCACCTCCCCATGGCCACAGCCCGGTGAGGAGAGCGATGGTGGGAAACCAAACGGCTCCAGAGGGGTCCCCATAGCCCCGTCCCGGTGGGGATGGGGACAGAGACCCCCGGGCAGGGATGGGACAAGGGCGGAGATTTTGGGGAAATTTTGGGGGTTTGGAGACAGCTGGGGACACTGAGATGGGGGCGTGGATCCACCACTGGGGTCTTCACCATAAGCAGCAGCCTTCCAGCTATAAGCATCAGCACCCTTGGCACAGAAATAGGATCCGGAATCCTCGTCCTCGAGGTTGTTCATGGTCAGCGTCACCGAGTTCTGCCCGTTGTCCCTGGAGATCATGAACCGGCCCTTGACCGATGGCGCATAGTAGATGGTGCCACCACCGCTGCTGATACTTGCGAGCCACTCCAGCCTCTGCCCAGGTCTCTGATGGACCCAGTACAATTCAAAACTGCCAAAATCGAACCCGGATCCTCGGCAGAGGAGGCACAGGGACCCCCCGGGGGGCTGGAGGTCTCCCCCGCACTCCAGCAGGGTCACGGCCGCCCGGAGCTCTACGAGACAAAGGGGAGATGGGGAGGAGAAACCTGATGGGTCCAGGGCCACAAACTGAGAGGGGAAAGCTTGATACAGGATTGCGACACACCTGGCAGGAGGATGATGAACTCCAAGGGTCCCAGTTTGGGGCCAATAGTCAGGATTTGGATCAAGGGTTGAGCTTTGGCCCCATCCCCATCTTCCTTTTGTCCCGCAGGGCTCCGGACGGCCGTGACCCTGCTGGAGTGCGGGGTGGACCTCCAGCCCCCTGGGGGGTCCCTGCGCCTCCTCTGCCGAGGGTCCGGGTTCAATATTGGAATTTTTGAATGGATTGGTTTCGCCAGAGATCTGGGCAGGGGCTGGAGTGGCCCGCAGGGATCCACAGCGATGGTTCCTACATCTACTATGCAGATTCAGTCAAGCGTGGAAGTGGGGGGAAGGCTGCGGAGCCTCAAAATCGCGGCGTCTTCTCCTCCCTCCCTCCCTCCCTGGCTCCCACCTGGGGCTTCACTTCTCCCTCAGCGGCTGCGGTGTCTAGGGCTGCTCCTTGGGGCTGGGCTGGAATCCTCTCTGGGGGCTCTGGATTAAAAACCCCCTTTTTTAACCAAAACACAGGAAATTTTGGGGAGATGAAACTGTTGAAATTGATCTCGAGCCAAGGGCTCCATGCTGAGAGAAGCAGATGGGTGCAAGGGTGGGGTCACCTGGAACGTTCCATGCGTCAAGGGCAGGGTCAGAATGGTCAAGGAGAGCTCAGGAGCCAAAATGGCCCCGAGTGGGCCCCGAGCTGAGGTGTGGGGCCAGGAGCTGAGAATGTGGGGCAGAGCCATGGCAGGGTTGGGGCACGGGGACAGGAATGGGGTCAGGGGCTGGAATTTAGGGGAAGGGTCTGGGGAACGGGGACAGGGGGGACACAGAGATAAGGGTGGGGTCAAAACGATCAGGAGCAGCCCAACTATCAGCAGCAGCTTTGGCACAGAAATAGGATCCGGAATCCTCGTCCTTGAGGTTTTTCATGGTCAGCGTCACTGAGTTCTGCCCGTTGTCCCTGGAGATCCTGAACCGGCCCTGCACTGAATCGGCGTAGCCGATGCCTCCACCAGTGTTTAACCCTGCGACGATTTCCAGCCCCTGCCCGGGTCTCTGGCATACTCAGCCCATCCCAAAACTTCCGAAACTGAACCTGGACCCTCAGCAGAGGAGGCGCAGAGAGCCCCCGGGGGCGGGAGGTCCCCCCCACACTCCAGCAGGGTCACGACTGCCTGGAGCCCTGCGGGACAAAGGGGAGATGATGGAAATCATAAACCTGATTGGTTGAGGACCTCAAAGTGGACGTGGCCATTAGGAAAAAAGGGACAGGACCCACATGGGAGGAGGATGATGAACTCCAAGAGTCCCAGTTTGGGGCCGATCGTCAGGACTTGGGTCAAGGGTTGAGCTTTGGCACCATCCCCATCTCCCCTTTGTCCCGCAGGGCTCCGGGTGTCCGTGACCCTGCTGGAGTGCGGGGGGGACCTCCAGCCCCCTGGGGGTTCCCTGCGCTTCCTCTGCCGAGGGTCTGGGTTAAGTTTTGGGAATTTTGGAATCAGCTGGTTCCGCCAGAGACCCGGGCAGGCTTTGGAATATGTCGCGGGGATCCATAGCAGTGGCAGCACCTTCTACGTGCCATCGTTCAGGGGCCGGGTCCGGATCTCGAGGGACAACGGGCAGAGCTCGGTGACGCTGACCATGAACAACCTCAAGGACGAGGATTCCGGATCCTATTTCTGTGCCAAATCTGCTGATAGTGGTTTTTGTAGTACTGCTGCTTATAGTGACGATGGCCGTTGTGGATCCATCCCCATCTCTGCTTCCTCACCTGTCCCCAAACTGAGACTCTTCCTTCAAATTGTCCCCTAAACCTCAGCCCTTGACCCTTTGTCTCAAATCTCCACCATTTGCCCCAAAGGTCAGCACTGACCACAAACCCTCCCCTGCTCCTGCCCCAAAACTGAACCATTGGCCCCAAACCTTAACCCCTGGCCTCCAGTTCAGGCCTCCTCCAATCAGGGCCCGGGGATCTGGGGGAGATTTCGGTGACATGGGCAAAGCTGGGAGAAAGTCGAGTGTTGGGGCATCAGGGGTGGAGTTTGGGGGAAACTCCTTAACAACTGAGGAGAAAAGCGGGGCTCTGGCGGACGGATCACTGGGAGTGGAGACATCTGGTGACCATCGTGGAGGGCGGGACCACAGCCGGAATTGTCACTAAAAGCAGCAACACCACCACCATAACCACTAGTAGCACCCTTGGCACAGCAATAAATGGCGGAATCCTCGTCCTTGAGGTTGTTCATGGTCAGCGTCACCGAGCTCTGCCCGTTGTCCCTGGAGATTGTGACCCGGCCCATGACAGACGGCGCGTAGTCCGTGCTGCCACCATTGCTGTTGATACTGGCGATGTACTCCAGCGTCTGCCCAGGTCTCTGGCACATCCAGCCCATCCCAAAACTGCCAAAATCAAACCCAGTTGCGCGGCACAGCAACGTCAGGGACCCCCTGGGGGCCTGGAGGTCCCCCCCGCACTCCAGAAGGGTCACGCCTGCATGGAGCCCTACGGGACAAAGGGGAGATGAGGATGTGGAGCCTGATTTACTGTGGGATCAAAGTAGGTGTGGCTTGCTGTAAAAAGGGGCGGGACCCCCCTGGGAGGACAGTGATGAAATCCAAGGGTCCAAGTTTGGGGCCAACAGTCAGGATTTGGGTCAAGGGTTCAGCTTTGGCCTCATCCCCATCTCCCCTTCGTCCCGCAGGGCTCCGGGCAGGCGTGACCCTGCAGGACTACGGGTGGGACCTCCCGCCCTCTGTGAGACCCTGCGCCTCCTCTGCCGAGGGTCTGGGTTTGATTTCGGACAAACCAGTTTTATTTGGGTCTGCCCGAGGCCTGGGCAGGGGCTGGAATGGGTTGCGCGGATTGACTACGATGGAGATACCTTCTATGGGGATTCGGTCAAGGGCTGGTTCACGATCTCCAGGGACAACGGGCAGAGCTCGGTGACGCTGACCATGAACAACCTCAAGGACGAGGATTCTGGATCCTATTTCTGTGGCAAAGCTCCAGAAGGAAAATATGCTCCAGCTTCTGTTTATGGTTTTGACCCCTTTCCCATGGCTGTGTCACCAGCTCTCCGGGTTCTCCAGACCCTTCTCCCAAACTCTGCCCCTGACCCCATTTCTGACGCCATCTCGCAAACCTGCTTTGGCTCTGCCCCAAATTCTCCACTCTTGACCACAAAGTTGACCCAAATCTTAACCCATGACCAGAAGTATCCACTTTCAGAGAAAAGTTTTGGGGCACAAAGTGGAGATTTGGGGTCAGGAGTTGTGATTTGGGGTCAGCGGGTGGGAATTGGGGCCGAGGCAGAGCAAGGTTGGGATCAATGGTCAAGGGCTGGGTGTGGGCTAGGGGTTTGGGTGAAGGGTCTCGGGAATGGGGACAGGGGGGGACACCGGGATGGGGATGGGGACACCATGGGTATCGTCACTACGAGCAGCATTTTCAGGGTAATTATTAGCAGCACACTTGGCGCAGAAATAAACAGCGGAATTCTCGTCCTTGAGGTTGTTCATGGTCAGCCACACCGAGCTCTGCCCGTTATCCCTGGAGATTGTGAACCAGCCCTTGACCGATGGATTATAGTAGGTGGTGCCACCGGTGCTGTAGATGCCTGCGACGTATTGCAAACCCTGCCCGGGTCTCTGGCGGATCCAGTACATTCCATAACTCCCAAAACTGAACCCGGACCCTCGGCACAGCAACGTCAGGGACCCCCCGGGTGTCTGGAGGTCCCCCTCACACTCCAGCAGGGTCACGGCTGCCTGGAGCCCTGCGGGACAAAGGGGAGATGATGGAAATCAAGAGTCTGATTGGTCCAGGGCTTTTAAGTGGGCGTGGCCAGCTGGACAAAGGGATAGAACACTCCTGGGATGAGGATGATGAACTCCAAGGGTCCCAGTTTGGGGCCAAGAGTCAGGATTTGGGTCAAGGGTTGAGCTTTGGCCTCATCCCCATCTCCCCTTTTTCCTGCAGGGCTCCGGGCGGCCGTGACCCTGCTGGTGTGTGGGGGGGACCTCCAGCGCCCCGGGGCATCCCTGCGCCTCCTCTGCCGAGGGTCCGGGCTCGATTTTGGGGATTATGGAATGTACTGGATCCGCCAGAGACCAGGGCAGGCGCTGGAATACGTCGCAGGCATCTACTACAACAGTGCCAACACCTTCTACGCGCCATCGGTCAAAGGCTGGTTCACGATCTCCAGGGACAATGGGCAGAGCTCGGTCACGCTGACCGTGAACAACCTCAAGGACGAGGATCCCGCCATTTATTTCTGCGCGAAGTGTGCTGCTAATAATTACCGTGAACATGCTGCACGTAGTGACGATGCCCAAGCTTTTCCCACCCCCATCCCCTTATCCCCCCCCTGTACCTATTCCCCAAACCCTTCCCCCAGACCCCCAGCCCACACCCAGCCCTTCACCATTGATCCCAACCTTGCTCTGCCTCGGCCCCAGTTCTCATCCGCTGACCCCAAACCACAACTCCTGACCCGAAATCTCCTCTTTGTGCCCCAAAACTTTGCTCTGAAGCTCGGGGTTTGAGGCCAAGGGTCCCGATTTGGGGACAAATTTTGAGGAATCGTCTCAGCGGCTGCTGCTGCAGGGAGCACAAGTGGGGATTTGGGGCAGATTCGGGCGATTTTTGGTGCCAACATAGTTGGGTCTGGGGCAGAACCAGTTCGTGGGTTTCGGCTCCGTGGTTGGTGGTGTTGGAACTGGGGGAGATCTGGGGCAAAGGGTCAAGAATGCGGTCAAGGGCTGAGATCTGGGGGAAGGGTCTGGGGCCTGGGGGCAGGAGGGGACCCAGTCAAGGGGAATAGGCCAAGAGCAGAGACATCATTACCCCAACTGGCACCAGCAGCCTTGGCGCAGAAATAGGATTCGGTATCCACATCCTTGAGGTTGTTCACGGTCAGCGTCACCGAGCTCTGCCCGTTGTCCCTGGAGATCGTGAACCGGCCCTGCACTGAACCCGCATACTCGGTGTAACCACCACTGCTGATCCCTGCCAGCCACTCCAGCCCCTGCCCGGATCTCTGGCGGATCCAGAACATTTCATAATCCCCAAAACTGAACCCAGGCCCTCGGCAGAGGAGGGGCAGGGACCCCCCGGGGGCTGGAGGTCCCCTCCGCACTCTGGAAGGGTCACGGCTGCTCCCCCATGCCCAAACCTTCACCGGTTTTGCCCCAAATTGCCTTTTTTTGTCCCCAAACATCCGACAGAGGTATCCTGAATGGTAAAGTGTCTTAAACCCTGCAATTAGCTGCAATCCACCCATTAATTAATTAGACAGCTCTGCCTGACTTTTGCATCACCCCATCGCCATCTCCCCTTTGTCCCGCAGGGTTCCGGGCGGCCGTGACCCTGCTGGAGGGCGGGGGGGAACTCCAGCCCCCCGGGGGGTCCCTGACGTTGCTGTGCCGAGGGTCTGGGTTCAGTTTTGGCAGTTTTGGGATTGCCTGGATTCGCCAAAGACCCGGGCAGTGGCTGGAGTGGGTTGGAACCATCAGCAGCAGTGGTGGCGTCACCAGGCACGCGGATTCAGTCAAGGGCCGGTTCACAATCTCCAGGAACCACGGGCAGAGCTCGGTGACGCTGACCATGAACAACCTCAAGGACGACGATTCCGGATCCTATTTCTGTGCCAAGGACACCGATGGTCACGGTGCTTATGCTGATGCTGGTGTGGGAGGATGGAACAGCAAAGCCTTATCAATGTGATTTCCTGGCAAAAGAATTTGAGAATATGGAAACCATCAGCGAGATTGAAATGAAAGCAAGCTTTGAGATCCCACAGTTACTTAACAACTGGAAAACAACGGTGTGGCCAGCTGAAGGTGATCCCATTTTGATGGAACAACACCCTCTGATTGCAGACAGGCCCAAGGGTCAGAGCGACTCTACAGCTTGGCAGAAGGGGTCAAAGAGGAGTTTTTGGGGTTTAAAGATACTCTAAAAAGGACTTTTTAGCGTTTAAAGTTAGTCCAAAGAGGAGTTTTCGGGTTTAAAATTACTCCAAAAAGGGGATTTTAGGGTTTCTAAAGAGCAGGTCTTAGGCTTGGCAGAAGGGGCCCAAAGAGGAGTTTTTAGGGTTTAAAATGTAATAGAGTATGGTAATGAAACGATTCTTATAGGCTGTATGTAAATGCTGTAGGGTTTGTATATTGGACCAGATTGGTTAGTGAGAATTAGAATATTCTACAGAGAAGAAGATTTATTGTATTGTGGTGGGAACCTCACTCTCTTACCCTTTTATTCTCTTAGAGTTTTGTGTTCTTACCCTTTTACACTCTTACCATTTTATTCACTGACTTTTTCACTCTCTTACCCTTTTTGTTCTCTCACCCTTTTACTCATTTACCTTTTTTACTCTCTTACTCTCTTCCCGTCTCATCCTCTCTCCCCTCTTTCTCTCAGCCCTGCTCCAGCTGTGCCTAGCAGCTCCCAGCAGGGCCCTGCAGTTCGTCCTTTGCAATAAACCCCAAATGCCATGACCTGGCTGCAGAGATCTCTCGTGTCCGTCCGTCTGTCCCGACCGTCCTGCTCCCTGATGCTCCTGCAGTGCTGGATGGGGAATGGGGCCAAGCCCGGCACGTCAATAGAAGCAACACCATAAGTACCATCAGGAGTATAAGCATATTTGGCACAGAAATAGGATCCGGAATCCTCGTCCTTGAGGTTGTTCATGGTCAGCGTCACCGAGCTCTGCCCGTTGTCCTTGGAGATCGTGAACCGGCCCTTGACCGAATGCGCGCAGCTTGTGCTGCCAGTGGTGCTGATATCTGCAATGAACTCCAGCGCCTGCCCGGGTCTCTGGCGGATCCAGGCCATCACAATAATCCCAAAATCGATCCCGGGCGCTCGGCAGAGGAGGCGCAGGGATCCCCCGGGGGGCTGGAGGTCCCCCCCACACTCCAGCAGGGTCACGGCCGCCCGGAGCCCTGTGGGACAAAGGGGAGATGGGGGTGAGTGGATGCAAAAGTCAGGTGGAGGTGTCCAATTAATTAATGGGTGAACTGGGTCTAATTGCACGGTTTAAGGCACTTTATCATTCTGGAAAAATCTGTTGGAGATTTGGGGACAAACAAAGGGAATTGGGGGCAAAACCAGTGAAGGTTTGGGGATCAGAGAGCGGCCGTGACCCTGCTGGAGTGCGGGGGGAACCCCCAGCCCCCCGGGGGGTCCCTGCGCCTCCTCTGCCGAGGGTCCGGGTTCAGTTTCGGCAGTTTCAGAATGTTCTGGATCCGCCAGAGACCTTGGCAGGGGTTGGAATACGTCGCAGCGATCAAGAACGATGGATCCAGCTACGCCTACGCATCATCAGTGCAGGGCCGGTTCAGGATCTCCAGGGACAACGGGCAGAGCTCGGTGACGCTGACCATGAACAGCCTCAAGGACGAGGATTCCGGATACTATTTCTGCGTGAAAGCTGCCTCTGATACTTGGGGTGCTGCTGCTGATGGTATTGACCCCATCCCCATGGCCGTGTCCCCACCTGTCCAGGTTCCCAAGACCCTTCTCCCAAACTCTGCCCCTGACCCCATTTCTGACCACATCTCCCAACCCTGCCCTGGCTCTGCCCAAAATTCTCCACTCTTGGACACAAAATTGACCGAAATCTTAACCCTTGACCAGAAGTATCCACTTTCAGAATCAAGTTTTGGGGCAGAAAGAGGAGATTTGGGGTCAGGAGTTGTGGTTTGGGGTCAGCGGGTGAGAATTGGGGCCGAGGCAGAGCAAGGTTGGGATCAATGGTCAAGGGCTGGGTGTGGGCTGCGGGTTTGGGTGAAGGGTCTGGGGAACGGGGACAGGGGGGGACATGGGGATGTGGACACAACCATCATCATCACCTCAATTAGCAGCAGGACCACCAACACCTATACCAGAAGATTTCTCGCAAAAATAAACGGCGGAATCCTCATCCCTGAGGTTGTTCATGGTCAGCGTCACCGAGCTCTGCCCGTTGTCCCTGGAGATCCTGAACCGGCCCTTGAAGGATGGATTGCAGTAGGTGTTCCCACTGCTGGCGATCACCGCAAGCCCCTCCAGAGTCTGCCAGGGTTTCTGGCACATCCACATCATCCCAAAACTGCCGAAACTGAACCCAGACCCTCGGCAGAGGAGGCGCAGGGACCCCCCGGGGGGCTGGAGGTCCCCACCGCACTCCAGCATGGTCACGGCCGCCCGGAGCCCTGCGGGACAAAGGGGAGATGGGGATGGGAAACCTGATTGGTCCAGGGCCTCAGAGTGGGCTTAGCCATTTGGAAAAAAGGGACAGGACCCACCTGGGAGGAGGAGGGTGAGGAACGGCAAGGGTCAAATTTGGGGCCAATAGTTAGGATGTTGGGGTCAAGGGTTGAGCTTTGGCCTCATCCCCATCTCCCCTTTGTCCCACAGTGCTCCAGGCAGCCGTGACCCTGCTGGAGTGCGGGGGGGACCTCCAGCCCCCCGGGGGATCCCTGCGCCTCCTCTGCCGAGGGTCTGGGTTCGATTTTGGGAAATTTGCAATGGGCTGGATCCGCCAGAGACCCGGGCAGGGGCTGGAATGCATCGCCAGCATCAACAGTGATGGTGGCAGCACCAGGTACGTGGATTCAGTCCAGGGCCGGTTCACGATCTCCAGGGAGAACGGGCAGAGCTCGGTGGCGCTGACCATGAACAACCTCAAGGACGAGGATTCCGGATCCTATTTCTGTGCCAAATCTTCTGGTGTTGGCACTGCTCTTACTGCTTTTGTTGGTGTTTGGGTTGGTGTTTGGGGTCCTGGCCTCGTCCCTGTCCCCAGCTGTCCCCAGACCCTTCCCCAAACCCCCCTGTCCCACCCCTGACCCTTTGTCCAAGCCCCGCCCCCTTTGCCCCAACGCTGCCCATTGGCCCCAAACCCTGCCCTGGGTCTGCCCCCAAACTCAACTCTCGGCCCCAAATCTCCCACTTGTGCCCCAAAATTGCCTCAAAGGGCCGACATTTGGGCACAGCGGGTGAGGTTTGGGTCAGCGGCTGTGGCTGGGAGCCCAGAGTAGCGATTGGGGGCAGATTCGGGCGAGTTTTGGGGCCAAAGCTGGTGGGTTTGGGGCAGAACTAGTTTGGGGGTTTGGAGTCTTTAGTCTCCATTGGTGGAAATGGGGGAGATCTGGGCAAAGGGGTCAAGAATGAGGTCAAGGGCTGAGATTTGGGTAAAGGTTCTGAGATTTGGGGATAAGAGGGGCTCAGGCACGGGCGCTGCCACCACCGGCATGGTCAATGTAAGCAGCAGCAGCCCAAGCAGCACCAGCAGCTTTGGCACAGAAATAGGATCCGGAATCCTCGTCCTTGAGGTTGTTCATGGTCAGCGTCACCGAGCTCTGCCCGTTGTCCCTGGAGATCCTGAACTGGCCCTTGACCGAATCTGCATAGTAGGCGCTGCCACTGCTGTAGACCCCTGCGAGCCACTCCAGCCTCTTCCCGGGTCTCTGGCGGATCCAGTGCATGGAGACACTGCCAAAACTGAAGCCAGACCCTCGGCAGAGGAGGCGCAGGGACCCCCGGGGGGCTGGAGGTCCCCCCCACACTCCAGCAGGGTCACGACCGCCCGGAGCCCTGCAGGACAAAGGGGAGTTTGGGATGAGGCCAAAGCTCAACCCTTGACCCAAACCCTGAACCTTGGCCCCAAATTTGGACCCTGGGAGTTCATCATCCTCCTGTCAGGGCGGTCCCGCCCCTTTTTACAGCAAGCCACACCTACTTTGACCCCACAGCCAATCAGGTTTCTCATCCTCATCTCTCCCCTTTGTCCCGCAGGGCTCCGGGTGGCCGTGACCCTGCTGGAGTGCGGGGGGGACCTCCAGCCCCCTGGGGGGTCCCTGACGTTGCTGTGCCGCACATCTGGGTTTGATTTTGGCAGTTTTGGGATGGGCTGGATGCGCCAGAGACCCGGGCAGACACTGGAATACATCGCCAGTATCAGCAACAGTGGTGGCAGCACTGACTACGCGCCATCGGTCAAGGGCCGGTTCACGATCTCCAGGGACAACAGGCAGAGCTCGGTGGCGCTGACCATGAACAATCTCAAGGTCGAGGACTCCGGATCCTATTTCTGTGCCAAATGTGCTACTAGTGGTTATGGTGGTGGTGTTGCTGCTTTTAGTGACAATTCCAGCAGTGGCCCCAGCCCTATGACGGTCACTAGATGTCTCCACTCCCGGTCATCCTTCCTCCAGAGCCCAGCTTTTCTCCCAAGTGTTAAAGAGTTTCCCCCAAACTCCGCCCCTGCTGCCTACACTCTACACTTTCACTCAATTTTGCCAATTTCACCCAAATTTCCCCTAGCTCCCTGGGCCCTGATTGGAGGAGGCCTGAACTGGAGCCCAGGGGTGAAGATTTGTGGCCAGTGGTTGAGTTTTGGGGCAGGAGCAGGGGAGGGTTTGGGGTCTGTGGCCACTGATGTTGAAAATGGAGTTAAAAGGTCAAGGAGTGCGTCAAGAAGAGAGGTTTGGGATGAAAATCAGAGCTTTAGGGACAAAATGAAGGGAGTGGGGCAAAAAGCATGGCCTGGAGGCAATCACCAATATTGTCACCATTGTTACCAGCAGCCCAGCAACCACTAGAATAAGGTATGGCACAGAAATAGGATCTGGAATCCTCGTCCTTGAGGTTGTTCATGGTCAACGTCACCGAGCTCTGCCCGTTGTCCCTGGAGATCCTGAACTGGCCCTTGACTGAATCCGCATAGCCGGTGTTGCCACCAGTGTTGGTGATCCCTGCGACGAATTCCAGTCCCTGCCCGGGTCGTTGACGCATCCAGCCCATCCCAAATTGTCCAAAATCGAACCCGGCTCCTCTGCAGAGGAGTCGCAGGGACCCCCCGGGGGGCTGGAGGTCCCCCCCACTCTCCAGCAGGGTCACGGCCGCCCGGAGCCCTGTGGGACAAAGGGGAGAGTAGGATGGGAAACCTGATTGGTTCAGGGCCGCAAACTGGGAGGGTCAAGGTTGATAAAGTATAGAGACCCACCTGGGATAAGGATGATGAACTCCAAGGGTCCCAATTTGGGGCCAAGAGTCAGGATTTGGGTCAAGGGTTGAGCTTTGGCCCCATCCCCATCTCCCCTTTGTCCCGCAGAGCTCCGGGCGGCCATGACCCCGCTGGAGTGCGGGGGGGACCTCCAGCCCCCCAGGGGGTCCCTGCGCCTCCTCTGCCGAGGGTCCGGGTTCAGTTTTCGGGAGCTACGACATGTTCTGGGTCCGCCAGAGACCCGGGCAGGGGCTGGAATTCGTCGCGTGGATCTACAGCAGTGGTGCTTACACCAACTGCGCGCCGTCGGTGCAGGGTCGGATCACGATCTCCAGGGACAACGGGCAGAGCTCGGTGACGCTGACCATTAACAACCTCAAGGACGAGGATTCCGGATCCTATTTCTGTGCCAAACGTTACACCAGTGGTTGCGGTAATGCTGCTATGCTTATGGTGTTTATGGTTGTTTTGGTCCCAAGCCCTCTCCTCTCTCTTCCCAAATAGCTCAGAATTCTCTGATCCTTCCCCAAAATCCTGGCTCTTTTTCTAACATCTCAGATATTTTCCCTCAAACTCCACCATCACTTCCCCAATTCCCAATTTCCTCTAATTTTCCCCATTCCTCCCCAGTCTGGCCCTTCCCCTCCGTCCCAGTGCAGAATGGGGATCACTCCGGGGCCCTTTGCACACAACGCTTTTTGTGCAGCCGGCGCTCTGCCGCAGCGCCCCGAGGCTGAGTTTCCCTTTGCCAAACACAGATGTTCACAGTGACCAAAACCAGGAACTTTCTGTTTTCTTTCCTGCCCCGGCCGGGCCCTGGCAGCTGCCGGGGAGGAAGTGGGGGGAGGCTGCGGAGCCCCAAAATTGCGGCGTCTTCTCCTCCCTCCCTCCCTCGCTCCCACCTGGGGCTTCACTTCTCCCTCAGTGGCCTCAGTGTCTGGGGCTGCTCATTGGGGCTGGGCTGGAATCCTCTCTGGGAGCTATGGAGAAAAAACCATTTTTTTAGCCAAAAACACATGAAAAAATTGGGGAAATTGAATTTTTCCACAAATTTTCACATTGATCCCCAGCCAAGGGCTCCATGCTGAGAGAAGCAGAAGGGTGCAAGGGTGTAGTCACCTGGAATGTTCCATTGGTCAAGGGCAGGGTCAGCACGGTCAGGGACAGTCCAGGAGCCAAAATGGCCCTGAATGGGCCCCGAGCTGAGGTGTGGGGCCAGGAGCTGAGAATGTGGGGCAGGGCCAGGGCAGGGTTGGGGCACGGGGACAGTAATGGGGTCAGGGGCTGGGGATTGGGGGAAGGGTCTGGGGAACGGGGACAGGGGGGACACAGCGATAAGGGTGGGGTCAAAACCATCAGCAGCACCATTACCCCAACCAGCAGCAGCAGCTTTGGCATAGAAATAGGATCCGGAATCCTCGTCCTTGAGGTTTTTCATGGTCAGCAGCACCGAGCTCTGCCCGTTCTCCCTGGAGATCCTGAACCGGCCCTTGACCCATGGCGCGTAGCCGGTGGCTCCCCCAGTGTTGATCCCCGTGAGCCATTCCAGCCACTGCCCGGGACTCTGACGGATTCATGACATGTCAAAATTCCCGAAACTGAACCCGGACCATCGGCAGAGGAGGCGCAGGGACCCCCCGGGAGGGTTGGAGGTCCCCCCCGCACTCCAGCAGGGTCACGGCCGCCCGGAGCCCTGCGGGACAAAGGGGAGATGGGGATGAAGGAAAAAATCCACCCAAATCCTAATTCCTGCATCCAGATCCTGATGTTGGCCACACACTGTGTCACTTTGTTCTCCTCCCCATCCTGCTGGCCCTCCCAGGTGGGTTGACGTCCCTTTTGGCAGCTGGTCACCTCCAGCCCAGCCCACACCCGCATCCGGGGCCTGATCTCCATCTCCCCTGGAGATGAGACCCGGGCAGGGGCTGGAGTGGCTCGCAGGATCAACACTGGTGGCAGCACCGGCTACGCGCCATCGGTCAAGGGCCGGGTCACGATCTCCAGGGACAACGGGCAGAGCTCGGTGATCCTGACCATGAACAACGTCAAGGACGAGGATTCTGCCACCTATTTCTGTGCCAAATCTGGTTATGCTGGTGCTTGGGGTCCTGGTGCTTATGGTGAAGACCCCAGTGGTGGATCCACGCACCCATCTCAGCGTCCCCAGCTGTCCCCAAACCCCCAACATTTCCCCCAATCCTCAGTCCTGGGCCCATCCCCGCTTGGGGGTCTCTGTCCAAATCCCCACCGGGATGGGGCTGTGGGGATCCCTCTGGAGCCGTTTGGTTTCCCACCATCGCTCTCCTCACTGAGCCGTGGCCATGGGGAGGTGCCGGCGACTCACGGCCCCGGCAGCACACACAGAACTCAATGGCGCCGCTCACCGCGAGAGGTTTGTGGCCAATCACACAAAGCAAAGGCAGATTGACACGGTGGGGCTGGATCTGGGACGTCCTCGTCAGTTTTGGGGAATTTGGTTTGGACGTGGAGCCCAGAGCTGAGGTTTGGGGCCAAGAGCTGAGATTGGGGCAGAGCCAGTTCAGAGCTGGGACACGGCGACAGGAATGGGGTCAGGGGCTGGGGACTGGGGGAAGGGTCTGGGGTATTGGGACAGGGGGGAAACAGCCATGGGGATGAGGTCAAAACGACAGGCGCCATTAGCAGCAGCATTGTTATAATAACCCCTGGCACAGAAATAGGATCCGGAATCCACGACCTTGAGGTTGTTCACGGTCAGTGTCACCGAGCTCTGCCCGTTGTCCCTGGAGATCCTGAACCAGCTCTTGACCGACGATGCATAGAAGGTCCTGCCACCACTGCTGATACCCGCGAGCCACTCCAGCCCCTGCCCGGGTCTCTGACGGACCCAGCTCATGGACTGACCCTCAAAATTGAACCCAGATGCGCGGCACAGCAACGTCAGGGACCCCCCTGGGGGCTGGAGGTCCCCCTGCACTCCAGCAGGGTCACGGCCACCCGGAGCCCTGCGGGACACAGCGGAGATGATTAAAAATGAGAAATGTGATTGCTCCAGAAGGGGAAAAGGTGTGTGTGCTCCAGGAAAAAGGGGCGGAGCCCACCTGGGAGAGCCAGCAGGATCAGCAGGACCTGGAGCCAGGGGGAGCTCAGGGCCAAGCCCGGGATGTGCCGGGGTTGGGGTCCCGGAGGGGTTTGGGGGTTTTTGACGTGGTATTGCATTTGAAATCAATGTGGAACACTCAGGAAAAGGTGTCCAATTAATTAATGAGAATATTGAGTTAACTTGCAGATTTTGAGGAATGTCAGGATACCTGAAAAAATCTGGTGGAGATTTGGGACCAAACCAGTGAAGTTATGAGTGAAATTGGTGAAGATTTGGGGATGGGGGAGCAGCCGTGACCCTGCTGGAGTGCGGGGGGGACCTCCAGCCCCCCGGGGGGTCCCTGTGCCTCCTCTGCCGGGGATCCGGGTTCAGTTTCGGCAGTTTTTCCATGCAATGGGTCCGACAGCGACCCGGGCAGGGGCTCGAATCGGTCGCGGGGATCAGGAACGATGGTGCTGACACTGGCTATGCGCCATCGGTCAGGGGCCGGATGAGGATCTCCAGGGACAACGGGCAGAGCTCGGTGACGCTGACCATGAACAACCTCAAGGACGAGGATTCTGGATCCTATTTCTGTGCCAAATGTGCTGCTGCTGGCAATTGGGGCGATGCTGCTGCTTATGCTGAAGACACGAGTTGTGGATGCACCCCCGTCCCCATGTCCCCCCCATTTCAGGTCCCCAGACCCTTCCCTCAAACCTTACCCATTGACTCAGATCTTGACCCTTTGTCCCCAATCTCCCCCATTTGCCCAATGGTCAGCACTGACCCCAAACCCTCCCCTGCTCCTGCCCCACAACTCATCCATTGGCCCCAAACCTTCACCCCTGGCTCCAGTTCAGGCCTCCTCCAATCAGGGCCCCGGGAGCTGGGGGAGATTTGGGTGAAATGGGCAAAACTGGGGAGACAATCGAGACTAGGGGAAGGATGGGGCAAAGTTTGGGGGAAAATGGTGAAGATTTGACACAAAGGACTGGGATGCCGGGGAAGGATCTCTGGGCATTGGAGACATTTTTTGACCAACATGGGGGTGGTCCGCTAACAGAATTGTCGCCAATAAGAGCAGGACCAGAAAAACCATAATCATTATTGCTACGTTTGGCACAGAAATAGGATCCGGAATCCTCGTCCTTGAGGTTGTTCATGGTCAGCGTCACCGAGCTCTGCCCGTTCTCCCTGGAGATCCTGAACCGACCATTGAGTGATGGCGCGTGGTGGGTGGTGCCAACACCATTGATACTTGCGAGGTATTCCAGTGTCTTCCCAGATTTCTGGCGAATCCAGAACATTCCATAATTCCCAAAATCGAACCCGGACCCTCGGCAGAGGAGGTGCAGGGACCCCCCGGGGGGCTGGAGGTGCCCCCCGCACTCCAGCAGGGTCACGGCCACCCGGAGCCCTGCGGGACAAAGGGGAGATGGGGATGAGGAACCTGATTGGTCGAGGGCCTCAAACCAGGCGTGGCCATATAGAAAATGGTGTGGGACCCACCTCGGAGGGCCAGCAGGGGCAGAAGCACACACCTGCTCCTCCCAACCGGTTCAGGAGGGATTCCTCGGAAATGAGTAGTAAGAACCTGTTTATTTTACAGGCACAGCACCCCCCAGCACAGAAAATAAACAACACCAGATGACGCCACTCCTTCATTGCTCTGAAAAAGATGACAAGTTCAGAAAGTCTCTCTCAGGGGTGGTCGCTCTGTTATCAGTCCCTCCGGTGCTGGGGCAGCTGCTGCAGCCACAAGGTGCAAACTCTCGGTGTTTCCCAGGTCCCAGTCCAGAGCAGGTCCAAAAAAGGGAAAGGAGAAAGAATCCAGGGAAAATTCTGTTTGCCAAGTTGAACTAACTAAAGAGCAGGAGCAAAAAGCAAGAGCAAAATGTTCCCTGCGTACTGCCCCGTCTCTGTGTGCCACCAACTGCTGGGGGAGTGAGCAGGCTGATAATGAAAAAAACAAAACAAAAAAAACCAAACCAAACCAGAACAAAACAAAAAACAGAACATTCTCTCTTAAAGGCAGTCTTAAGGGCGCGGATCATAACATCCAGCATAAAAAGAAAAATTACAGGGGATGCAAGCATCCTAATGACACCCGGGGGCAACACAGAGTCAAGAACAGGATCAAAGGCCAAGCTTTGGGGCAAAACTCGAGAGTTTGGGGACACAATGATGAGTGCGGATCAAATACTAGAGCTGCAGGCCATGGCCAGTACCGTCACTATAAGCACCACTAGGCCAACAACTGGTACAAGAAGATTTGATGCAGAAATAGGATCCGGAATCCTTCTCCTTGAGGCTGTTCATGGTCAGCGTCACCGAGCTCTGCCCGTTGTCCCTGGAGATCGTGACCGAGCCCCTGAACGATGGCGCGTAGTAAATGTTGGAACCATTGCTCCTGATAGCCGCGACCCATTCCAGCCCCTGCCTGGGTCTCTGGCGGACCCATTGCAAGGCAAAACTGCCAAAACTGAACCCGGACCCTCGGCAGAGGAGGGGCAGGGACCCCTCGGGGGGCTGGAGGTCCCCCCCGCACTCCAGCAGGGTCACGGCCGCCCGGAGCCCTGAGGGACAATGGGGAGATGGGGATGGGAAACCTGATTGGTCCAGAAGGGGAAAAGGGGCGTGACTTCTGAGGAAAAAGGGGCGGGACCACCTGGGAGGGGCAGCAGGGGCAGCAGGGCCAGGAGCTGGAGGGAGCTAAGGGCCAAGCCCGGGATGTGCCGGGGTTGGGGTCTTACGGATTTTGGGGGTCATGAGCTTTTAATTGTGCAATCAGTGGAGAAGGATCAGAAGGAGGTTTCCAATTAATTAAGGAATGGGTTGGGGTTAATTGCACGGTTTGATGCAAGTTATGATGCAGAAAATCTCTGGTAGAGATTGGGGACCAAACAACCAGAGTTTGACACAAAACAGCGAAGGTTTTGGGATGGGCTCCGGGCAGCCGTGACCCTGCTGGAGTGCGGGGGGGACCTCCAGCCCCCAGGGGGGTCCCTGCGCCTCCTCTGCCGAGGGGCCGGGTTCAGTTTTGGGAGTTTTGGGATGGGCTGGTATCGACAGAGACCCGGGCAGGGGCTGGAAGCAGTCGCAAGTATCAGCAGCAGTGGCAGCGCCTACTACGCAGATTCGGTCAAGGCTCGGTTCAGGATCTCCAGGGACAACGGGCAGAGCTCGGTGACGCTGACCATGAACAACCTCAAGGACGAGGATTCCGGATCCTATTTCTGTGCCAAACGTGCTTATGCTGATAATTGGAGTCCTTGTGCTTCTGCTCAAGACGCCCATGTTGGATGCCTCCCCACCTCAGTGTCCCCTCCTGTCCCCAATCCCCAGACCCTTCCCCCTAATCTCAGCCCTTGACCCCATTCTTGAGCCTTTGTCCCAGATCTCCATTTCCACCACCACCAACCAGGAAGCAAAAACCCCCAAACTGGTTGTGCCCCAAACCCAACTAAGCTGGCAACAAAACTCGCCCGATTCTTCCCGAAATCCCCACTTTGGGCTCCCTGCAGCAGCAGCCGCTGACACAAATCCTCAACCTTTGTCCCCAAATCGGGACCCTGGGCCAAAAACCCCGACCTGCAGAGCAAAGTTTTGGGGCTGAAAGAGGAGATTTGGGGTCAGGAGTTGTGGTTTGGGGTCAGCAGGTGAGAATTGGGGCGGAGGCAGAGCAAGCTTGGGATCAATGGTCAAGGGCTGGGTGTGGGCTGGGGGTTTGGGGGAAGGGTCTGGGCAACGGGGACAGGGGGAGAATAAGGGGATGGGGGTGGGAAAACCTTGGGCATTGTCACTATGACCAGCACTTTCAGGGTAATTATTAGCAGCACACTTGGCACAGAAATAAACGGCGGAATCCTCATCCTGGAGGTTGTTCATGGTCAGCGTCACCGAGCTCTGCCCATTGTCCCTGGAGTTCCTGAACTGGCTCTTGACCGACGGCGCGTAGGAGGTGTAAGCACCATTGTCACAGATCCCCACCAGACATTCCAGCCCCTGCCTGGGTCTCTGGCGGACCCAGAACATGTCGAAATTTCCAAAACTGAACCCGGACCCTCGGCAGAGGAGGCGCAGGGACCCCCCGGGGGGCTGGAGATCCCCCCCACACTCCAGCAGGGTCACGGCCGCCCGGAGCCCTGTGGGACAAAGGGAAGATGATGGAAATCAAAAGTCTGATTGGTCAAGGGCCCCCAAGTGGGTGTGGCCAGCTGGACAAAGAGGTAGAATCCTCCTGGGTGGTAGGTGATGAACTCCAAGGGTCCCAATTTTGGGCCAAGTGTCAGGATTTGGGTCAAGGGTTGAACTTTGGCCTCATCCCCATCTCCCCTTTGTCCCGCAGGGCTCCGGGCGGCCGTGACCCTGCTGGAGTGCGGGGGGGACCTCCAGCCCCCTGGGGGTTCCCTGCGCCTCCTCTGCCGAGGATCTGGGTTCGATTTCGGACAGTCTGGAATGATGTGGATCCTCCAGAGACAGGGGCAGGGTCTGGAATGGGTCGCAGGGATCAGCAGTGGTTCCGACACCACGTGTGCTCCATCAGTGCAGGGCCGGTTCACGATCTCCAGGGACAACGGGCAGAGCTCAGTGACGCTGACCATGAACAACCTCAAGAACGAGGATTCCGGATCCTATTTCTGTGCAAAATCTCCTTATGCTGGTTCTAATTACGAAGCCTATGGTATTCATGTTGTTTTCAGCCCTGCCTTTCTTGATGGGTTCCCAAATGTCCCCAGTCCTCAGACGATTCCCCCAAACCTCAGCCCTTGACCCTTTGTCCCAGATCTCCCCCATTTGCCCCAATGGTCAGCACTGACCCTAAACCCTCCCCTGCTCCTGCCCCAAAAGTCAACCATTGGCCCCAAACCTTTACCCCTGGCCTCCAGTTCAGGCCTCCTCCAATCAGGACCCGGGGAGCTGGGGGAGATTTGGATGAAATGGGCAAAACTGGGGGAAAGTCGTGAGTTGGGCTGCAGGGGCAGAGTTTGTGGGAAAAGGTCTGAGATTTCAGGAGAAGTGCTGGGATTTTGGGAAAGGATGTGGTAGACAGGGAAAGGCGCTGCGGAAGATCTCGCGATGTCACGGAAAGCCAGGACCCTCTGATCCCCTTAGATAAGACCATCTGCTTCCCATAGATAAGAAACTAACATAGGAAGGTAGCCTCCCTTAACCAAATTCCAGTAACTTTCCATCCCCTACCCAGTAACAGTCCACCTCTTACTAACCATAGATGGTAAAGACAGACCCATGCTGACGTAGAGACCCCTTAGACTATAAAAACCCAAGAGATGAGATAATAAACGCCTTTTGATTGTCCATCACATTGATGTCTGCGTGTGTCATTGGCCCGAGTGGCCCTGGTGAGTGGGCCGCCGTGCTGTTCGTCTGAAGCTGGTCGCCTGCCTTGCTCCAGAAGGCAACAAACTGGTGCCGAACCCGGGACTGCTGCAGCGCCCGAGGTTCGGGAATTCTCCTGGCCAGAGATCAGCGGCTGCTCGCAGCATGTCTGACCACAGCGGGAGAGACACCTCCGGACCAGCGTGGACCATGGAAGCCATTGCGAAGGTCGTAATAGAGATGCATGCACAATGGGGTATAGAATGTAAACTTAGGGATTTATCTCTCGCATTGCCGAGACTGATTAAGCTTGGGGCTATTGAAAGCCCCGTGGACGTCCTACATTCAGACGTGTGGGATAATTGTACAAAAGCCCTGGCGGAGGACACCATGTCCTCAGGCTCAGGGAAAGCCCTAAAATCGTGGGGCAGGGTTGTCCAGGCTCTGCAAAAGGCTCGACAAGAGCAAGAAACCTGGATAGCCGCGCGAACTTGTTTATTAGCCGTGCCGCAGTTGGGGGTGGGCGCGGCGACACAAACCGCGGAGGGGCCTGACCCGGGCGGGTGCACGGAGGCGTGAATGCTAAACCCCCCTCAGCGAGCGGATTCACCATGGGAGGGGGGGAACACCTGCGGACGTTCTGGCAGGGGCTCGCGGAGGAGGCGCGGAACGCGGCCGAATCGGTGGACCCCGTAGGGACCGATAAAAGCGCCCCCCCACCATATGCGTTTGAAAATGGCGCCGAACCGCGTGGTCCGGGCGCAAAGGAGGAGGCGGGGGGCAGAAGCGCGGTCAGCCCGCTTAACAACGCATGCACGGGCGAGCGGGGAGACGGGGCGGCCCCCGCGGAGGCGCGTAAGATCAACCAGAGCCCTCAGTTCAAATTAGGTCCTTATAGGGCAAGGACCTCCCCCAGCAGGAGGCGGGGAGACCCCAGGGAGAGGGAACGGCCCGACCCCCGCAGGAGGGGGCGGGGTCGGAGTCCGGGGAAAAGGCAGAGCAGCCCGGAAGCGTCTCCTTATTCAACTTCCGGCTCGGACTCGGGCTCGAGCTCCGAGCCCGAGATAGGATCGAAGGATTCCGATCTGGATTACGGCTTTAACAGAGAGAGAGAAGCGGCATGTAAGGTCACTAGCCACAGTGCTCCTGCTTGGGTGAAGGGGTTACCAGAGAAAAACCAAACCCCGCTCACAAACTGGTGGAAAATAAAAATGGCTTGCGCGGAATGGGCTCTGTCTGCCACTTTAGTGTTCCCGGTCCGCGTGGGGGGGGCAGGCGGAAACCAAAGGACTTATTCACCAGTCAATCCGAAAGATGTGCAGGCAATTGTTAAAGCGATTGCGGATAAGGGAATTAATTCTGCCATGGTTTGCACACTTATTGACGGCCTTTTTGGTGGGGACGACATGCTTCCCTTCGATATTAAGCAGACGTGTAGAATGATATTCGATGGTTCAGGGATGATCGTTTTCAAACAAGAATGGGAGGATAATTGCATGAAACAGCTAGCCTTGGTAACAGGGGCAGACCATCCACTGCACGGCTCCCGCATACAGAGGCTTATGGGCACAGACCCCACTATGATCACCCCCCAGCAACAGGCTGAGGGCCTGCGAGCCCATGAGGTCATGACAACGACCCAAGCTGCCCGAGAAGCCATCCGTGACGCTTCTAAAGTGGTAGCCAAACCCTCTCCATGGTCTTCCATAAAACAGGGTGAGAGTGAGAGCTTCACTCAATTCGTGGACAAGCTCCAGGCCGCATTAGATTCCTCTGCGTTACCCTCAGAGGCGAAGGGTCCCGTGCTGGCAGAGTGCTTACGCCAGCAATGCAACTCAGCCACTAAGGACATTTTAAGATCACTGCCACAGGGGTCTAATATAGCTGCCATGATCAGACACGTTGCAAAGGAGGAACACCTAGCTCCCATCAAAGCAGCAGTTCAAACTGCAATAACCAGCGTGATGGCGTGCCTTAAGTGTGGCCAGGCAGGCCACTTGGCAGTAAACAGCCCCCAGCCAAGGTGCCTATCAGCAGCTGCTCCACCACGCCAAGCGGGAGGCAGGGGACCGTGCTGGGGGTGTGGAAGGAAAGGGCACTTAGCTAAGGAATGAAGATCCAGACCTCAGGGAAACAGGAGAGGGAGGGGGTGGCCGGGCCGTGTTCAGCCCCCTCCCACCTGGAATATGCAGCGGCCCAGCTACAGCAACCCCCAGTGGGGCAGGGGACCCTCATACCCTATGCCCCCACAGGGAGCAGTCAACTTGGCGCCCCCCCAGCAATACAATGGCAGAGTTGTGCAGCACCCTCAATACCTTCGCACCCCCCACCGCCACAACCCGCGCCGGAGTCACAGGACCAGCAGGGGACGCCCCAGAGCGGGATCCCTGGGTGGCCTTGGTCATGAAAATAGGGAAGGAACCCTCGATGGTGTGGGGGACATGCCGCCTTTACGGCAGCCAAGATCCTCACGTCATAGGGCTTCAGTTTTGGGCAGACATGGGATCAGACTGCACGATTATTCCCCAAACGCATTGGCCCGGACATTGGCAATTCAAAGAAGTCCCCCCAGTGAACGGAGTGGGGGGGCAGTCCCGGGCATGGAAAAGCACCCAGCTGGTGGCTATAACACTTCACACGAAAAAGGGACCAGAACAGACAGTAGCAATCTACCCCTATTGTCGGAGAATGACTTAAAGAAAAGGCCATGAGACATACAATTGAGAGAAAAGTAAGAGGGAAAAGTAAAAGCAGTTTCTAACAGTTCTCAGCCTTCTGATTTGTATAAACAATTAGACTCTCTCAGGCATCATTCTATAAACAATGGAGTTCTCGGGCTATCTTCTCATAACAAGCAGAACACCGTCTCTGGGAAGGCCTGCCATCCTGAGAACAGATGTAGAAGTTTTGGGAACACTGGTTTCTGTTTTGGTTTCTGGTTTCTGTTTTGGTTTCTGTTTTTAATAAACAATTGTAGGTATTCTAAAACAAGAGGAGTGGTTAGAAGTTTCTCTGTTAGCCTATCATGAAATTGGATTACAGAATATTCATGGCGTTCGTTAGCACTGTTATTTAAGGTGATGGATTGATCAATAAAGTTGGAGATGCATTACCAGGATGGTCGATTCTCCCTTCACTTCAATACCCTATATTTTGCAGAATTCTCCACCCCTCTTAGGAAGGGATGTTCTCTCCTTGCTAGGATTTCGGATCACAAATTTATCCTGAGGGCCACTGCCGTACACCCTCCGCTGCCAATCAAATTGACTTGGAAATCATCAGACCCTGTATGGGTTGAGCAGTGGCCCCTGACAGAGCCTCAAATGGCAGCCTTGCTGGAACTGGTTGATCGAGAACTGCAAAAGGGTCACATAGAACCCTCCACCAGCCCTTGGAACACCCCGGTATTCGTGGTCCCCAAAAGCTCCGGACAAGGCTATCGTCTCGTCCACGACCTGAGAGAAGTGAACAAGACGATCAGACCCATGGGTCCAGTCCAGACACTGCTTCCCGCGAATTCAGCCATCCCCACAGGACAGCCATGTGCAGTACTGGACATCAAGGACTGCTTTTTTTCAATACCCCTGCACCCTGAGGACAGAGAACGATTCGCCTTTTCCGTGGCATTTCGGAACGGCGAGCAGCCCAACCTTCGCTTCCAATGGAGAGTACTTCCACAAGGCCTGGTCGACAGC